GCTCCCAGCCCAGTACATCCAGATGAGAAAGTACCCAGCCCAGACAAGGTGGACGAAAAAGAACCAAGCCTGATTAAGCCTGATGACAGAAAATCAAGTCTCATTACGTCGGACGATAAAGCTCCCAGCCCAGTACATCTCGATGAGGAAGTACCCAGCCCAAACAAGGTGGATGAAAAAGAGCCTAGTCCAGTTCAACCAGATGAGAGGAAACCAAGTCTCATCACGCCAGAAGGAAAGGCTCCTAGCACAGTACATCTCTTTGAGAAATTACCCAGCCCAGTCAAGCCAGATGACAAAGAGCCTGGTCCAGTTAAGCCTGATGACAAAAAACCAAGTCTCATCACGACAGAAGAAAAGGCGCCCAGCCCAGTACATCTCGATGAGAAAGTACCCAGCCCAGTCAAGCCAGAAGACAGAGATCCTAGTCTAGGTAAACCTGATGAGAGGAAACCTAGTCTCATCACGTTAGGAGAAAAGGCACCCAGCCAAGTACATCTCGATGAGAAAGTACCCATACCAGTGAAGATAGATGACAAAGTAGATGAAAAAGAATTAAGTCTTTCTGAGACTGATGAAGACCTTTCTAGCATTATATCTGTAGAAAAAATTAGCAAAGTCCCTGATCAGGACTCTGACAAACTTATAGATGACAAATTTAGTCCAAGTAAAACTTTTGGCACTGTTGAAGTGGATAGTCAAAAATTGGTTGAAAAGGAAGAAAATGAAGATGGTTTTATAGTCATAGATAAACATTCTCTTAAAGACATACACGTAGCTCCTGAAAGTTATACTAAAATAAGCCCAAAGGAGGAAATTGAAATAGAAGCGGACGAAATAAATAAAACAATAGTCACCATCGATGAGAAATCATTAGCATTCAAAATTTCTGATGCCATTCTCAGCAAAGTTCCTGAAAAAGAACCTAGTTCAGAGAAAGAGGCTCAGATAACGGATGATGTGGATCAAGGTACTAGTATTAAAGATGACCTGCTCCACAGTACAATAACAAAACAACTTACGGGTTTGAAGGATGAGAGAGAACAACCCGATAATGAAGTATCTAGCCCCGATCTTGTATCTGATGCGAGCCCTATACAAGACAGTCTTTTGATGACAAATATAGAAAAAGATGACATTTACCTAGAAAAAGATAGCAAACAGATCGTTTCTGACAAAGATATATATATCACCGAGAAAGTAGAAAAAACCCTTGAACTAATAACCAATAAATTGATAACAGATGAAACTGAAATCAAGGAGACTACTGAACACCATTTACGGACAAGTGATGAACTGGTTATCAATACAAAACAAGATTTGAAGATGGAACTACAACTCGGTGAAATCACACCAAAAGATATCATTTCTAACAAACTTGATAACAAGCAAGTTGATTTAGAAAAGGATATACATCACATCAAAGACGAAGAAAAAACAATCGATGGTGAGCACCAAGACGTAAAGATTGACGATATGCCTGATGAGGAAGCACCTAGCTCAGTCAAGCCTGATGCGAAGGCACCTAGCCCCGGCAAGCCTGACGAGAAAGTGCCTAGCCCAGTCAAGCCTGATGAGAAAGCGCCTAGCCCAGTCAAGCCTGATGCTGAAATACCTAGCCCTGTTAAGCCTAGTGAGAAGGCATCCAGTCCTATCAAGGCTGATGAGAAAAAGACTACAGATGACAAGTATGATGAGAAGGTACCAAGCCCAGCCAAGCCTGATGAGAAAGCACCTAGCACAGTCAAGCCTGATGAAAAAACACTCAGCCCAGTCAAACTTGATGAGAAGGCACCTAGCCTACTCGAGCACGATGACAAAAAAACTGCATTTGACGAGCTTGATGATAAAGCATCCAGCCCAGTCAAGCTTGATAAGACGGCACCCAGTCTTATCAAGGCTGATGCAAAGGAGACTGCAGATGTCAAGTTTGATGAGATAGCGCCTAGCCCAGCTAAGCCTGACAAAGAAGCACCCAGCCCAGTCAAGCCTTATGACAAAGAAACTGTAGATGACAAGCTAATTGAGGAAGCACCCAGGCCAGTCAAACCTGATGAGAAGGTTGCTAGCTCAATCAAGCCTGATAACAAAGAAACTACAGATGACAAGCTACATGAGATAGCACCCAGCCTTAAGGCACCTAGCTCTATTAAGGCTGATGAAAAATTGACTGCAGATGACAAGCTAAATGAAAAGGCACCTAGCCCAGTCAGGCCTAGTGAAGAAGCACCCAGCCCTATCAAGGCTGATGAGAAAGTGTCTGCAGATAACAAGCTTGAAGCAAAAGCACACAGCCCAGTCAAACCTGACGAGAAGGCACCCAGCCCTATCAAGGCTGATGAGAAGAAGACTCCAGATGACAAGCTAGATGAAAAGGCACCTAGCCCAGTCAAGCTTGATGAGAAAGCACCCAGTCCTATCAAGAGTGATGAGAAAGTTTCTGCAGATGACAAGCTTGACGAGAAAGCGCCTAGCTCATATAAGCCTGATGAAGACGCACCGAGCCCAGTCAAAGTTGATGAGAAGGTGGCTAGCTCGGTCAAGCCTAGTGAGAAGACACCTAGCCCAGTCAAGCCTGACGAGAAGGCACCCAGCCCTATCAAGGCTGATGAGAAGAAGACTCCAGATGACAAGCTTGATGAAAAGGCACCTAGCCCAGTCAAACCTGATGAGAAGGTGGCTAGCCCAGTCAAGCTTGATCTCAAAGAAACTAAGGATGACAAGCTAGATGAAAAAGCACCCAGCCCAATCAAGCCAGACGAGAAGGCACACAGCCCTATCAAGGCTGCTGAGAAAGCGACTAGCCCAGCTAAGTTTAATGATGAAGCACCCAGCCCAGTCAAACCTGATGAGAAGGTAGCTAGTCCAGTCACGCCTGATGAGAAAGCACCCAGCACAGTTAAACCTGATGAGAAGGAAATAGTTGACGACAAGCTTGACGAGGAGATGGCTAACTCAGCTAAGCCTGATGCAAAAACACCCAGCCTAATCAAACCTGATGAAAAAGCACCCAGCCCAGTCAAGCCTGTTGAGAAGGCACCCAGCCCTGTGAAGGATGATGAAGAGACACCTAGTCCCGTCGAGCCTAATGAGGAAGCATCCATTTCAGTCAAGCCTGATAAGGCATCACCTAGCCCTGTCAAAGTGGATGAGAAGGAAACTGCAGATGACAAGATTAACCAAAAAGTACCTAGTCCAGCAAAGCCTGATGAGAAGGTACGCAGCCCAGTAAAGTTTGATGAGATGAAGACTGTAGATGGCAATCAGCAGAAAGTACCTAGTTCCTTCAAATCTGATGACAAGCCCGCAACTGACACGGTTGATGAGAAAGAGCCCATAGGTGACCAATTTTGTGAAATGACGCTCAGTACAGACAGGACCGATGAAAAAATTATAAAACCAGTAAAACTTGACTTGATCTCTAGTTTCAAACCAAGCCCAGCTGAATCAGATGAAGAAGTTCTCAGTCCCGCTTTAGTAGAGGACACTGAACCACTTACCAAAAATTTTGATATCTTCGAAAAGCAAATTTCGGAACATCTAGAATCTGGTCTCGACATTTCTGTAGATAAAGGTTTGTCTTTATTAGAAAGTGATACAACGAACGCTATTGATGAAATACAAATTGAGGAACAGCTTAATGGCTTTGAACCAATAGGTGAAACAGAAGAAGATACAACATCACAAGTAGTAACAGTCACCGAACATGGTATTATCATAATTAGAAAAACAACAATAACAACTGTAATACAGGAATATACTAATATAAATAAGACAGTGTTCAAATACAAAATAACAGTAATTTCATTAGAGGCCGATGAACTACCCGACGGCACAAAATTTAGTAGAACGTTCAAAGAAGTTTCTGTTGCAGACACAAAACCTAAAAAGAGTACGGTTAAAATTGAAGTAAAGGAACCAACGCCAGTTACAGATATCAACCTCTTATTGCCCAGCCCTGATACGTACGATGGTACAGAACATAGCCCAGTTGAATCTATTACTAAGGCAACTAGGTCTGCCAAGCCTGATAAGAAGGTACCCAGCCCAGTAAAGGCTGATGAGAAGGCACCCAGCCCAGTCAAAGCTGATGAGAAGGCACCCAGCCTAGTCAAAGCCGATGGGGAGGCACCCAGTCCCGACAAGCCTGATGATGAAGAAGTAGTAGATGACAAGCTTGATGAGGAGGTGTTAAGTACAGCCAAACCTGTTGAGAAAGCACACAGTCCTGTCAAGGCTGATGAGGAACCACCCAGCCTAGTCAAGCCTGACGACGGGGAAGTAGAAGATGACAGGCTTGACAAGAAAATATCTAGTCCAGCAAAACCTGATGAAAAAGCACCCAGCCCAGTCAAGCCTGATATGAAGGCACCAAGCCCAATCAAACATGATGAGGAGACACCCAGCCCTGTCAAGCCTGATGAGAAGGCACTTAGCCCTGTTGAGGCAGATGAGAAGGCACCCAGTCTAATTAAGCCCGACGAGAAGGCACCGAGCCCAGTTGAACCGGATGAGAAAACGCCCAGCCCAATCAAGACTGATAAAAAGGCACCCAGTCTAATCAAGCCTGAAGAGTCGGTCAAGCATGACGAGAAGGCACCCAGTCCAATCAAGTCCGACGAGAAGGCACCTGGCCCAGTTAAGGCCGATGAGAAGGCACCCAGTCCAATCAAGCCTGACGAGAAGGAACCGAGCCCAGTTGAGCCGGATGAGAAAACACCCAGCCAAGTCAAGGCTGATGAAAAGGCACCCAGTTCAACCAAACCTGACGAGATGGCACCGAGCCCAGTTGAGCTAGATGAGGAAACACTCAGCCCAGTCAAGACTGACGAGAAGGCACCTAGCCCAATTAAGGCAGATGAAAAGGCACCCAGTCCAATCAAGCCTGATGAGAAGGCACCGAGCCCAGTTGAGCCAGATGAGAAAACGCCCAGCCCAGTCAAGACTGATGAAAAGGCACCCAGTCTAATCAAGCCTGCAGAGCCGGACAAGCCTGACGAGAAGGCACCTAGTCCAATCAAGCCCGACGAGAAGACACCTAGCCCGGTTAAGGCAGATGAAAAGGCACCCAGTCCAATCAAGCCTGACGAGAAGGCACCTAGCCTGGTTCAGGCCGATGAGAAGGCACCTATTCTAATCAAGTCTGATGAGAAGGCACCAAGTCTAATCAAGCCCGACGAGAAGGCACCTGGCCCAGTTAAGGCAGATGAAAAGGCACCCAGTCCAATCATGCCTGACGAGAAGGCACCTAGCCTGGTTCAGGCCGATGAAATGACACCCAGTCCAATCAAGCCTGACGAGAAATCACCCAGCCCAGTAAAGACTGATGAGAAGGCACCCACTCCAATCAAGTCTGATGAGAAGGCACCGAGCCCAGTTGAGCCAGATGAGAAAACACGCAGCCCGGTCAAGACTGATGAGGAGGCACCCATTCTAATCAAGCCTGACGAGAAGGCACCTAGCCCAGTTAAGGCAGATGAAAAGGCACCCAGTCCAATCAAGCCTGACGAGAAATCACCCAGCCCAGTCAAGACTGATGA